TCCCAGAATTCCCCAGGCAGGGTCTCCAAAAGTGGCAACTTTAAGACTTGTGGCCTTCAACTCCCAGAATTCCCCAGGCAGGGTCTCCAAAAGTGGCAACTTTAAGACTTGTGGCCTTCAACTCCCAGAATTCCCCAGGCAGGGTCTCTAAACATGGCAACTTTAAGACTTGTGGACTTCAACTCCCAGAATTCCCCAGGCAGGGTCTCCAAAAGTGGCATCTTTAAGACTTGTGGACTTCAACTCCCAGAATTCCCCAGCCAGGGTCTCCAAACGTGGCATCTTTAAGACTTGTGGACTTCACCTCCCAGAATTCCCCAGTCAGGGTCTCCAAACTTGGCATCTTTAAGACTTGTGGACTTCAACTCCCAGAATTCCCCACATGCTTTAAAGTTGCCAAGTTTGGAGAGTCTTGCTTTAGTCAAATCTCTTCCCTGGATTCATTGCCATGTACAGCAACACTGAGAATAAAACACTGCAGTTTCAAGATATCCTGACCGCAGTCCCATCACAGAGCGTTCTGACCCATGCAGATTATGCTACCTCCATCTCTGTTACAGAGGAAAAGTAAAATTTCAAAATTATTTATGGGAACTCTGACCGCAAAATTATTGCAGGGCCTCGCCAGCGATGAGCTGTGCTTTTGTGCCGCGTGCGAGTGGGAAGGAGTTTTATGTCCCCTTCATCTTCTTTCATTTTAATAACATTCTCTCTCGAAAGAGGTCATGGAACCAGCCAATTTCCAGTCATAGGAGAAGCAAAAAAACCCCATGCAAATTATAAAAAATAAATAAAACGAATGTAGAACGGTTGAAACAGCATCGTAAAAGCCATTAAAATCGTCTCGGCAGCAGCGAATTTTTAAAAAAAAAGTCATCTCAGAATTAATAGAGTAAAAAATGTAATTCTAGAAGAACATAGCCCCCCCCCCTCGAAATATATCTTTAACAACCAGTGAATGATGGGGATAAGCTCCAAACAGCCGGATGAGTCTGGGTTCAAAGGAATTTGAGTCTGGCAGCAAATTGCTGATACAGGAAGTCCTTTGACTTACGACCACAATTGAGCCCAGAATTTATGTTGCTAAGTGAGAAATTTGTGAAGTGAGTTTTGCCCATTTTACGATATTTTTTGCCACGTTTGTAAAATGAATCACCGGAGTCATTCAATTAGGAGCATGGTTGTTAAGTGAATCTGTCTATGGAGATTCTCATTCATCCAGGTCATGGTTGTCCCAAAGGTGCTTTTTCAAGAGGCATGTTGGATTTTCTGGTCCAGTTGCCTCTCGAAAAAGCACCTTTGAGTTAAGTGAATCTGGCTTCCCCATTGACTTGCTTATCAATAGTATTTAGCCAGTAGATGGCAGTGTTTACAAGTTTGGAACAAGGGTATGTACTCTATCTTTTTTGTTCTAGGTAATTTCCTGTTTCCTGTTACAGTTATATAGATGAGCAGTAAAGCACATAGTGACTGTGCTTTTTGCTTGCTCTGTGGTGCTGGATTGAAATAGAACTTTTAAGAGTTCTCTGAATATCTCCCTGAGTTTGAAGCTCTGTCATTGTGGATGGCTATCTGGTAAGGAAATATCTCTGTAATGATGACCGGGAGGGTCACAGATTTTCTCATAGAACTATATAAACGAGATGCTAAATTGGTTGTTTAAAAGGGTTCTCGCGCTCTGTCATAGGGCTGGCTCCAAGAGACAAATGGTTGAACTTTCGTTCCGGGGATATGTTGTATCTGAGACAAGATTCCGAGGGAGAAGACACTGTTTCTGAACTTGAGATGTGGTGGGTGATGAAGAAGGAAGCATGGAGTGACTGTCATCCTCAAGTTTTGGATGCGGAATGAATCATCTTTTGAGATCTGTGCTGGAAAGTCGTTTAATTTTATGTTTCTTTTAATACAATTCTGGTTATTTGTCACCAAGTCATCTTCTTGTTCATCTTAACAGAATAAAAAAGTTGGAAGGAACTTTGGAGGGTTCCTAGTCCAACTCTTTGCTCCAGCATGAGACTGTACCATTTCAGACAAATGGTTGTCCAATATCTTCTTAGAAGCCTCCAGGAATGGAGCACCACAAATAATCTTCCTCCTTCTCCTCCTCTCTCTCTTCCTTCTTCCCTTCCTCCCTTCTTCCCTTCCTTCCCTCTCTTTCTTCTTTCTCTCTCTCTTTCTTTCTTTCCTTCCTTTCTTCTTTCTTTCTTTCTTTCTTTCTTCTTTCCTTGCACTGCATAATAAAAGATATGAATTGTTACAGCTAAGTCCTCCAGTTATGACCATAATTGGGCTGCAATTTCCACCACAAAATAACGGAGTAGTTGAATGAGTTGCACCCAATTTTATAACCCCCCCCTTTTTCCCCTGTGGTTGTTAAGCAAATCACATGGCTGTTAAGTGAATTGTGGTGATTAAAAGAATCCAGCCTTCCCCATTGACTTTGCTTGTAAGAAGCCGGCAATGAAGGTTGCCAAATGGGGGATCCCAGGACCCTCGGATGCTGCAACCATGACAACTACATGACAGTCATCAATGCCATGAATTGCAATGCCTAGGCAGGCATGTGACAGTCATAAGTCTGAGGATTGATCATCAGTCACTCCCCCCCCCCAGTGTCATTGTAAATTGAAAGGGTCACAAATAGGAATTGTGGACTACAGATGCACAGGCAGCATTGAAATCTTATTTTGTTGTTGGCCGAGTTGAAGGAAGGCAGAAGGTTAGATGGTTCTAAGCACAAGAGCCATCTAAAGCCAAAGTCAAATCCAGCATCTCCTACAAAGGTTTTTATCAGATTTGCCTCCTGTTCGCAAAACAACAAAAGAACAGGTGGATGCATAATGCAGCTTCGCTAAACCAGCAATTACCCCTGGTGACTTACAAGTCCTTTTCTTTAAAATTTAATGAGATTGACTTTCCATATAGCCATTTAATTCTTTTTTTTAATATATAGTTGGCTTCAAAAGCCCAGCCTGACCTACTCCTGCTGAGCTCTTAAGTCCAGGGATGGTTGTTAAACAAGGCTGGAAAATGGCAATTTAGTTCTACCTTCTAGGTAAAGACAGCCTCTCTCTCTCTCTCTNGGAGAAGGAGAAGGGGGAGGAGGAGGAAGGGAGGGGGAGGAGGAAGAGGAGGAGAATGAGGTGGAGAGGAGGAGGAGAGGGAGGAAGAAGGGAGGGATGAGGAGGAGGAAGGGGAGGAGGAGTTGGAGGAGGAGGAGAAGGAGGAGAAAGAGAGGGGGAGGAGGAAAAGGAGTTGGAGGAGGAGAGGAAGAGAAGGGGGAGGAGTTAGAGAAGGAAGAGAGGTTGGAGGAGAAGGAGATGGAGGAGAAGGAGAAGGGGGAGGAGGAGGAGGAGAAGGGGGAGGAGGAAGAGGAGGCGAATGAGGTGGAGAGGAGGAGAGGGAGGAAGAAGGGAGGGATGAGGAGGAGGAAGGGGAGGAGGGGAGGAGTTAGAGGAGGAGGAGAAGAAAGGGAGGGGAGGAGGAAAAGGAGTTGGAGGAGGAGAGGAAGAGAAGGGGAAGGAGTTAGAGGAGGAAGAGAAGTTGGAGGAGAAGGAGATGGAGGAGAAGGAGAAGGGGGAGGAGGAGGAGGAGAAGGGGGAAGGAGGAAGGGAGGGGTAGGAGGAAGAGGAGAAGAATGAGGTTGAGAGGAGGAGGAGAGGGAGGAAGAAGGGAGGGATGAGGAGAAGGGGATGAGGAAGGGAGGAGTTGAAGGAGGAGGAGGAGGAGAAGGGGGAGGAGGAAGAGGAGGAGGGGGAGAGGAACATTGTAATAGCCTTATGCATTACAGTATAAAACAATAGGACAAAGTGTGTGAATGGTGAAAGCTTTCGGGGGGGGGGGGAAGCAAAGCCCCAGGAATAATTGGTGATTTTTTCCCCCCAAGGGTCTGCTGTGCTCTTTGACATGAAGCGGGCGTCCTGTGGATAATCACTCAGCACCTCCCAAGAAGCGGAGCTGTTATTGGCGGCACCGACTTTTCTACATTACGCTCCTCCTTTGATTTCTTTCTTTTTTCTTTTTTTTTAATAAGCGTGTATTCGCATTGGGAATCATTTAACCACACTGCTTAGCCACGCTTGCTTTTGAGGTTTCTGGTCTACCCTGAAGGCCTGATGGAAAGGCCGGGGAGAATTTCAAAGGACTCTTAATATGCCTGACTCGTATTTTAACCCTAACCCGTGATGGAGGCTTTTATAAGGAGCCCAGGAATAGTTTAAATCAGTGGTTTCCAAACTTGGCAACTTTAAGACTTGTGGACTTCAACTTCCAGCTCTGCTGGCTGGAGAATTCTGGGAGTTGAAGTCCACAAGTCTTAAAATTGCCAAGTTTGGGAACCACTGGTTTAAGTGACTCAAGAGTTAAATAGCTGGTAGGAGACGGTGCGTGGGACTCTAGCCAAATATGGAGCTGTCTCAGCTTTGATTTTGTTTTTTAATTTCTTCTTGCAAAAAAAAAATCTGGAATCTATTCCTGCTGCCTCCTTGTGGTGGAAATCGCTGGATCATTTGCCATCACTTAATTGTTGAATTTTTTTTTTTTAATGACCCCATCATCCCTTGCATGGGGTGGAATCTGGGCAACTGAACAGAGCTGAGTGTTTACTGGCCGGATGCCCTTCCCTGTCGCCAATGCAGAGTTTTGTTCGGCAGATTTATTCTCATTGTGTCCAGAGAGAGAAAGATCAGCCTCAACCTGGGATCGAACCCACAGCCTCACAGTGAGGCCAGAGCTCCACCTCTAGGCTGCCCCCGCACTGCTCCCGTCACTTAACTGTTGAATAAACTGTGCATAAGTGAGGGAGGCGTCCCTTCTCTCCACTGTGCAACTCCCATCTTCTGGCAACGCGGCGTGCCTGTTGGTCCGCCTGCAGGGACAGAAACACAGAAAAGCTGATGTGTCATCAGAGAGATACAAGACACTCGGTCTCTAAAAGTTCACTGCTCTGGAAAGAGGGCAGAGAAGAGCAACCAGGATGATGAGGGGACGGGAGGCTAAAACATACAATGAACAGTTGCAGGAACTGGGCATGGCTAGTCTAGGGACGAGAAGGACCAGCGGAGACAGGAGAGCAGCTTTCCAATATTTGAGGGGCTACCACAGAGAGGATGGGGGGCGGGGCGGGGTGTCAAGCTATTTTTCAAAACACCCGAAGGCCAGACAAGGAATAATGGATGGAAACTGACCAAGGAGAGATTCAACCTGGAAATAAGGAGGGATTTTCTGACAGTGAGAGCAATCAACCCACGGAACAGAAGTTGCCTTCAGAAGTTGTGGGAGTTTCATCACTGGAGGCTTTGAAGAAGAGACTGGGCTGCCATCTGTCAGAAATGGTGTAGGGTCTCCTGCTTTGGTGGGGGGCTGGACTAGATGACCAACAATGTCCCTTCGAACGCTGTTAATTATCTAAGTATCTAAGATGATCAAAGGCCTAGAGACTAAAACATGCAATGAACGGTTGCGGGAAATGGGCATGGCTAGTGTAGGGAAGAGAAGGACCAGGGGAGACAGGATAGCACCCTTCCAATATTTGAGAGGCTGCCACTGTTATTTAAAAAGGTTTTATTTCTTTTAAAAAACACAAATATTTCATCATTCGTCAATCATTAAACCATTGAAGTACAAGGCTGCCACTAAGAGGAAGCGGTCAAGCTATTTTCCAAAGCACTCAAAGGGCAGACAAGGAACAATGGATGGAAACTGATCAAGGAGAGATTCAACCTGGAAATAAGGAGGAACGTTCTGTCAGTGAGAACAATCAACCAATGGAACAGAAGTTGCCTTCGGAAGTTATGGGAATTTCATCACTTGAGACTTTCAAGGAGATTGGACTGCCATTTGTTAGAAATGGTGCAGGGTCTCCTGCTTGAGTGGGGGGGGGGGTGGACTAGATGACCTATAAATTCCCTTCCAATTCTGTTAAACTGTAACTAGTCTGCCCACCCCTCTTAAAGTTGCCATGTTGAAAACCACTGCTTTAGAATAATCTATACACTTCATTCATTCGTTCGTTCAATCCATTAATTTTTACGTTACCCATCTCCTCTAAAAGGTGACTCTTTCTGTTTTTTTCCTTGCTGGATGGCTACTCACCAGCCTCCGTCTGCTTCTAGCAGCGTGAAACTCCCCGGGATCCAGAAGAACATGGATAAGGGTAGAAAAAGCAGGATTTGGGTCCTGGTCTCCATTGGTTGCAAGATTCTACAGAACAAAATCCTTCCTTTGGGTGATTCTCAGCAAAACAGCCGGTATCTTGAGAGAGGTAGAACGTTAGACGGTGGACCGGCATGGAAGACCAAATCTTCTGAAAAGAGGTTTTTAAAAAAAGGGATGTTAAAAGAAGCAGAAGACCAAGGATGAAGACTTGGAAATCTTCTAGTCCGGTGTTTCTCATAAGACGCATGGACTTCAAGAGCTTCTCGCTGGAGAATTCTCGGAACGGAAGTCCACGCATCTTAAAGTTGCTGAATTAAGAAACCCGATTCGACTGATGATGTTACCTAGTTTGGTCGCGAAACGTCTGCAGAAAAAAAAAACACAAACCCAGCTCAGAAAGCACCAAGGACTCCTGGTCTCCATTTTGACCCTACAGTCACGATGAGAGATGAAAGGAAAGATCTCTCTCTTAAAAAAAAAGACTCAATCTCTGATGATTGAGGATCACTTCAAATGGACACCACCTACAATGCCACAGAATTCCTTGTAGGATCAAGTAAATTTGTACGGTGGAAGAAAAGATGCTGTTACCTAGTTGGGTAATGAAACATTTTCAAGAAAACAAGCAAGGTCAGAGAGCACCAAGGACCCCAGAGTCCACCTCCTATCTACACCACTCTGCACACCCCCAGCACTGATGCTGTACTGTAGTTTGGTAATGAAATGTCTGCAAGAAAACCACCCAGTTCAGAGAGCACCAAGGGCCCCATAATCCTTCTCCCCCCCCCTCCATTCCACTTCTTTTTAGCCCTGATGATGTTACCTAGTTTGGTAATGAAATGTCTGCAAGAAAACCACCCAGCTCAGAAAGCACCAAGGGCCCCATAATCCTTCTCCCCCCCTCCATTCCACTTCTTTTTAGCCCTGATGATGTTACCTAGTTTGGTAATGAAATGTCTGCAAGAAAACCACCCAGCTCAGAAAGCACCAAGGGCCCCATAATCCTCCTCCTCCTCCTCCCCTATACAAGCCCCACTTCTTTTTAGCCCTGATGATGTTACCTAGTTTGGTAATGAAATGTCTGCAAGAAAATCACCCAGCTCAGAGAGCAAGAAGGACCCCACAGTCTTCCTCCTATGCCACCACCACTCTGCAACACACACACACACGCACACCGCACTGATGCTGTAACGTAGTTGGCTCTGCAACCCAACAAGACAGACACAGACTTCAACGGAGAATAAGAACTGCAGAAAAAAACAGTTGCAAACCAACCAAAGGGTTTTCTTCCAGAATTCTCTCCGTCTGGTCCCTTATCAGCTCTTGCTAGCTAACTAAGGGGAGTGGACCCCAAACTTTAGGACAGGCAACCGATTCCTTCGCTCATTTGCTTCGGATGAACGGATGCACCCTCTCCTTTGGGGCAGGAATTCACACCTCAAGGAAGGAAAGAGGTGGCGCTTTGCAAGAGAGGAGCGCGGTGGCTCTTTCATAAAACTGAGCGCTCTCTTTCTTCCTCTTTTCTTGCCACCGAAGCAATTCAGGAAACTAAACCGAGCCAAGGAATGAGGCTTGGAACCGGTTTCCCCAGGCAAAATCTTCCTGCACAAACCTACGCTTGAAAACAGCTCATTTTGGGTTGGAAAAAGGTCAACCTCTCCACAAGGGAGAGTTTGCGAGGGTGTGTGTGCTATTTTCTAAGTTGGGGTCTCATCGGTTACAAGATGCTTAGGACAGTGAGACCAGATTACACCAGACAGTTGGACTAGATGACCTACAAGATCCCTTCGAACACTGTTAATTATCTAAGTATCTAAGATGATCAAAGGCCTAGAGACTAAAACATGCGATGAACGGTTGCGGGAACTGGGCATGGCTAGTGTAGTGAAGAGAAGGACCAGGGGAGACAGGATAGCAGTCTTCCAATATTTGAGGGGCTGCCACAGAGAGGAGGAAGGGGTCAAACTATTTTCCAAAGCACCCAAAGGCCAGACAAGGAACAATGGATGGAAACTGACCAAGGAGAGATTCAACCTAGAAATAAGGGAAAAAATGCTGACAGTGAGAACAATCAACCAACCCATGGAACAGAAGTTGCCTTTGGAAGTTGTGGGAGCTTCATCAGTGGAAGCTTTCAAGAAGAGACTGGACTGCCAACGGTCAGAAATGGTGTGGGTGTCCTGCTTGGGTGGTGGTGGGGTTGGACTAGATGACCTCCAAGGTCCCTCCCAACTCTCTTCATCTGTTAAAGAGCTGTTAAAGCTTCTTCAGCTCTGACTGGATGGTGGGGCACTACTATTATCAATGCCCCGCACCCCCAAGACGAAGGGTGCTGCTCCGCGGCTCGACCGCTGCTTGGTCTCTCGATCTGAAATCCAGATCGGATCGCGGGGATAGAAAGAGAGCCACAGCCCCGCCCGATCCCTCGCTGCTTTCCGCGCCTGGGATGCAAGATGCAGCCCTCCCACCCACCAAAGCCCCGATTCCCCCCCTTTCTTTTGGGGGGAGCATCCTTCTTCTTTACCTCTCCGGTGTAAATGCAAAGCGTTGGATCTCCGAGACATCGAAAAGTCCCTGGAGGAGCCAGCGCCCCCGCCTTTTCTCTGCTCCTTTGCATTCTGGGGGTTGTAGTCCAGGCGTTGCCAATGCGGTCCGTGGGAAACTCAAACTTTTCCAACTATTTTTTTAAGGGTCTCTAACATTTGGCTGCTTTGCCATTTTTTAAAATTCCCTTTTTTTAAAATGCATTTTGTTTGGCCGTCCAGGGATGATGGATGCACTACAACCCCCAGAAAGCACCGCGTGGAGTCGGGGAAGGGGTGAGAGAGAGTCCTCTGTTGGGATTGGGTAGGAGGTGTGGAAACTACGTTACCCACAAGGCGTCGCGGTTGAAACTCATGCCTTGGCTGCTTGGTTGGGGGGTGTTCTTTCTTCGGTATCTTGACAATGAAATGGGGGATGGGACGGGACGGGGACGGATTCCTGCATTCGGACATTCGCCCTGAAGATCGGGCGATTCTGGCATTGACAGTGTAGTGATGGCATGTTCAGACTCAGCGGAGATTTAGCAATCCCCGCATTCGGACCCGCCCCAGAGATTTAGAATGGGATAGGATAGGATAGGATAGGATAGGATAGGATAGGATAGGATAGGATAGGATAATGGAATGAGAATACAATGGAATGGAATGAGAATAAAATAGAATCGAATAATGGAATGAGAATAGAATAGAATAATGGAATAGAACAGAATGGAATGAGAATAGAATAGAATAGAATAGAATCGAATAATGGAATGAGAATAGAATAGAATAATGGAATGAGAATAGAACAATGGAATGAGAATAGAATCGAATAGAATAATGGAATGAGAATAGAATGGAATAGAATAATGGAAAGAATCGAATAGAATAATGGAATGAGAATAGAATGGAATAGAATAATGGAAAGAATAGAATAGAATAATGGAATGAGAATAGAATCGAATAGAATAGAATAATGGAATGAGAATAGAATAGAATAGAATAATGGAAAGAATAGAATAGACTAGAATAATGGAATGAGAATAGAATAATGGAATGAGAATAGAATAATGGAATGAGAATAGAATAA